ATGCTCAATTCTACTTCACTCCTACTAGAGTTAGTAGAAAACAAATTAACAGATGAATCAGACTTGACGATATGATCATAGGGGAAAATATTTAAAGGACTTCTCTGGCAAACAGAAAAACTGCCACAGGGAATTACCTTTTCTCATACCCCAAGCTGGTCTGTTCCGACCCACAGCGCCAGGTCGCTCAGCTCCATTAAAATGTGTTCTGGACTGTATCTTTCAAATCTGTAACTACCAACCTTTATTGTTGCTCTGTTACGCCTAAACTTTAGTTCTCCACACTCTTTGCCCTTATTCCCTGATGTCATATTTCCCCATATTTTACATGAAGTCCCTAACCTCTGCTGTTGATTCTTCTGAACTTGACTCCGCTTCCTACTGACATGATACATGTTAAACTTCCTTATATTTAGCAGAATTCCCACCCTCAGCCCCCTCAGCACAAGGTGATATGTTTTTATTCAAATTACAGTGGAATCATATAAACATAATATGGCATTATCTATACCACAAAGATAACGAAAGTAGCTAACTTCGTTATACGCTTCCTACGATCCAGGCAATCATAAGTGCTTCACATGCTTTACATACATAATTCAGTTGAGACCTCATAACCTCTTATGTGGGTGGGTAGTAGTATTTTTATTTTGCCTGTGAGGGAGATGTTAAGTGACTCACCAGCCTCACAAAGCTGCTGATTCCAGCCAAGTTGATTTGACTCCAACACACACTCTACTGCCTCCCTGGGCCTTTTATTACGTAGAACACATCATGAAGACTGTGATTTGACCTACAGAATGAATCCCTATTACAATAAACAATGTAAATACAAAGTCCTACTGTATTTGTGGCAGCTAGCCAGGGAAATCAAGCACTTCCTGGGAAACAAGTCGCTACTGAAGTAAATAGAGCCTGATATCATTTTTTAGAAACCATTACCTTCTATGACTTTTCTAGTAATATGAATTGACAGATATAAAAACAAAAACAACCCAAAACCCCCATCACACCATCACATAACCCTGAAAGGCACCAACTCACAGGAAAACCCAATCCCGTGTTTAATAAAACCAGGTATTAGTGCGCCAGGATATTGAATGGAACTTTTCCTGTGGCCCAGAACCGACACGCAGCTACAGATGAAATCTACAGGCACTGACTTCCTATTGAAAGGGGTAGAAACCTTTCCTCGAGGCTTCCTAATAGAAAAAACCCACACTACAGCAGACAGCCATCCACCAACCCTCACCTTCTCCCCAGCTCCTGTAAGAAGCCTGGGCACGGACAGGAGTGATAGAGTTCCCAGCCTTGCAGAGAGGACAGTACTCTGTGAGGAATCTGTCTTTTCCCCATCTTACAGCACGAAGTCTGTCGGAGGGAGGGGCGTGTGCTGCTGCAAGAAAGCTCCAAGCAGAGTGGAGAGGGTCTTGCAGAAAGGGGGACGGCCGGCATCTCACTGTGCCATGGGTAGAACAGAGGGAAGCCTGGTGAGAGAGTTCTGGGGAGGACTCCGCCTGAAGACGGGTGTGTGTAATTGAACACAGGCTTGCACTCACTTCTCACTGTAGCTTTACGAAGGCGAAAGGCTTCCTGGAGTCACACCCCTGGGAAGCCAGGACGTGCGGCACCTCCACCCCAGCTTCACGACAGAGTGTAGGAAGAAAAGCTCAGGGGTTTCCATCGGTCCACAGGAGAACCACAGAACGGGTGAGAGACAGAGAGACGAAAAGGACTAACCAGGACAAATGGCTTGACACTCCACCAGGGAGCCGCGGGCAGGAAGTGGCAGCCTGCTCCAGTATTCTTGAGCGCCAGGGACAGAGAACCCTGGCGGGTTACAGTCCGTGGGGTTGCAAAGAATCAAGAACACCACGTGGCTGAGCACGCTACCAGAGAGAGGACCGGAGACAGCGTCTCAGGAGGGCGAGCCTCTCCAAGGAAGTCCTCGCTGACAGAGTGGGCCAGGCTGGCCTGAACAAGAAACCGCCACGAGAGACCATTACATCCGCGGAAGTTGCCAGGAGCGATACGACCAAAGGGGTCAGAGTGAGCGCACACACCTTCCCACAACTGGCAGGGGGTCAAGTATACAGGACTATTGTTACCTCTATCGAAAACCACTTGCCCTCATCCTAGATGGGCCACAAGACAGAGAGAAAAAGAGAAGAAACGCTTTTTCTCAGAATCTCTCTCTCTCTCTCTCTCTCTGCCCTTTGCCTTCTCTGCCTCTCTCTTTCTCCCATCCCCCTTCCAGCCCACTTTTTGGGTCCCTTAAGCAATGGTTGGGGGAAAGTTTTAAATTGGACATACTACAGTTCTAAACTGTATTGAACTAAGCTTACGCATCAAAAACAATCAGAATGTTTTGATACTTACCTAAGGTGCCATGGAAGGGTGAAAAAGATTTCTACAGAGTTTAGTGGAAAGAACTGATGAAAACAGGTAAAGTGCTTAATATAGCCCACCTGAATTGTTGATGAATAGATCATCTTATCTCATGCTGTACGGGAAGAGCTGTCAGATCCTTACCATCTGAGAACACAATACGCATGATGACTGAGGGACTCCAGTGCCTAACACTAGTTTTTTAATCTTCTTGTTTAAAAAAAAAAGAATCACTTAACGCAATTTGCCTCCCATGGCATTCTATCAGGGCACCAGAAGTTAAAAAAAAAATCAAGTCAAATTAAAGACGTAAGTCACATCTTTGCACATCAGATAGACGTGAGACGGGGCCTGCAGCCCCTTCTCTGTGAGTCACTTTGACAGCACAGAAAGCCGTGACCCTGTGTTTCCGGGAGGGCCACTCATGCAGCTCCGCTGGGCAGATGAGTCATAAGAAACCTGGCTAACCGTACTTTGACATCCCCAAGCTACCTCCCTGGGAGCTGGCCGTTTTATTTCCACTCTCTTCCCACCCCACCCCACCCCCCACCATATTTCTTCCCAGTAGCCATCTTTATCTGAATTAATGTGACAAGAATAACCAGCCTGTCAACCCATGGAAAGGACAAGAAGACTCAAAAATCACTGTAACTGCAAAGTGATTCCACTATATGATTCCTACTTTAAAAAGTAAAATAGTTTTTTTTTTTTTTTCTCCACCAGAAAGTGGTCCAGATTCTCAGCAGTCTTCAGTCTCAGTTTGGTACCATAACCGCCATAAATAAATTTCTTACGCACTAAAACCAGTTTTGCCCTTTTCCCAGGAGGCTTTTGTAAAGCGCAACATAAATTCAGCTATCTCATATGATGCAATTGTGATTTAGAAAAAGCCAAGACCATCATCAATACACAGTTCCATCCTCCCACACCAACAGCCCAATCTAACTGCCGCCAAGTCCCCAAACCCTGAAACTCCCACCCACAAGCTGCCAAACCCTCTGGTTGCCCTATCACTGGCAGATGCTACGATGCTCTGTCAGTAAAAGGTTTGTGAGAAACTGAAAAGTGTACAAAATCAAACAGAATGCAAAGACATTTTTACTGAATTCTGGATTCTGGAATACTTAATGCTTAAGAATTAAGACAGACCTGGGGATCAATACCCTGTGATTCTCAATTTGATCAACTCCAAAATGGCTACTCCCTGCTGACCCCAAAAGGAATAAGAGATGGCAGTTTGCAAAGACTCTGAACATCCCCCATAAGAAGCATCGCGTACATACAACTCTGCAAATACAAATATTTCAATCATGAGGAGACTTGTGTGTGCCAAGGTCACCATTTCTATGTTGAAGTAACATGATGAACACTCAGAAATGAGCAAAGTGACTCCATTGAGGGGGACCCCGTAATCCACTGTCATTTACGTGCGCTGCATTGAGCTGTGTCCAGGGTCACTGACTTAGGGACGCAGCGGGCTGAAATCTCTTAACTACAGTGAGGTTACTCCTCCAGAGCTCACTAAGGTCCTTCACCAAACCGGGCAATTTTTATTTGAATCTGGGAAGCAATCCTGAGACTCTCAGCCCCTCATCTTACATAAGGGAGGACTAAGACCCAGGATATTTGTGTCAAATAAGTCAGACAGCAAAATACTACAATCTAGGCACCCTGGTTCCTGGCCCTGGGCTCTTTCCACTCCTTTTCCCTATTACCCAGCCTAATAAAAGCCCGTTGTTCTCACACTTTCCCCATCCAAGCCCCTCCTCTGTGCCGCAACCTGCGTACTCCGGGTCTCCAAGGCCGCTTCTGTGGCCGCTGGAGCTGAACCTCACGCTGTCCGGGTCTTAGCGCAGCCCCTCCTAGGAGCGCTGTCCCTTCCCTGTGGTCATGCCCCGAAACCTTGGTCTACTTATCTTTTCCAGTGACTGCCTCCTGTCCCAGATTTCACTCCAGCAAGCCCCAGGACTCTCCTTTCTAATTCCTAAGCCCAGGCATCCTTCAATCAATTCTTACTCTGAGACCTTGTATCCTGAAAGAGCATATTCACTTTCTATTGTATTGGTATTCTGTTGTGATATAACAGATGACTGCAAAGTCAACAATTTAAAACAAAACAGATCTGTTATGGTAGAGTAGTATGGGTCAGACATTCCGACATGGGTCTCACTGGATTGAATTCAAGGTGCATTCTCTTCTGAAAGTTTTGGAGAGAATTTGTTTACTGGCTTTGTCCATCTTCTAGAAGTCTCCCACATTCACCAACTCATGGATTCCTCCTCCATCTTCAAAGTCAGCAACATAGTGCCTCTTTGATCCTGCTTCCATCGTCATATCTCCTCCCCTGACTCCCCTCTTCCTCCCCCCTCCTCCACTTTTAAGGACAACCGTGACTGCACTGGGCCAATCAGAATAGCGCAGGATAACCCTTCTCTTTCACGGGCAGCTGATTAGTGACCTGAATCCCATCTGCAACTTGCATTCCCCTTGGCCAGATAACCTGACACACTCGTGGGTTCCGGGGACGAGGACATGAACATCTCTGAGGGGCCAGTCATCTTTCCTCTTCCTTCTTCTCATCCCCTGACACTCCTCAGCTGACGTAGAGGAAAATGGGGTCTAACCTGACTGAGCCCCCAGACGGCTGCTGGGGCGTGTGGGGCGAGACGTGCCGCGTGGTCACCGGGGCATCCTTTGCTCATGGACCTGGGAGGGACACTGATGCCCTTGGTGCGGCGCTGTCCTCTCCAGCGCTCTGTCCTCAGAGCCACGGAGGGCCGAGCCTGGATGGAGAGGATGAGGGCCTGGCACGGGATCCAAGCACCCGGGGAGCCCAGCGCACACAGCGCTATCACTAAGCACGGCCTTGGTGCTGATCAAACACAGGATAAACACACAGGGTAATGCGTGTGTGGGTTGAGCCTTCAACTGAAAACTCCTTGGAAATAGACTTTGTGGTCAAAATTATGAAAATCATTGCATTGTCAGGTAATCTACATTTACATTTTCCCTTAGGAAATCTGCATTTTGCTTCAGGGAAGAAAAAACCAACTCGGACAATTATGGAAGACATTATATAAGGAAATCAGTCCTACAGAGTCTTATTAACCACCTCATAAAGACTTATTTTTTAATTTTGAAATAATTAAATATTCATAGGATGTTACAAAGATAGAAGAGAAAAGTATAGTGTACCCATCACCCAGTTTCCCCTTGTGGGTATCTCTTACATAATTACAGTTTAATATCAAAACCAGGAAACGGACATTGGTGCAACATGTGTTTATACTTCTATGTCATGAGATTTACATTTTAAAAGCACAACTAGACAAATGGATACGTCTGTGTCCACCACTCAGAATCCTACCAAATGTCATCAGCACTGCATTGGACTTAAGGACTCACCTACCAACAGGCCTGGGTTGGACAACTCCTCAGAACCTACATAACCTCTAAGATAAAGCCTGCAGTGGAGCACAGAGAACTCGACAAGCGCCTACATCAGCAAATGAAACAACAGGGCCTCTCAGTCTGCTAGGCACGCCTGCTGAAATAAGAAAATTCTCCCGCAACGTTTTCAAATGACTGATACTCAGTGTAACGGAACTGTCCACCAACTCCACAGATGCCAGTCGCCGCCAAGAAGGAAAATAGGAGAGCTGACTGAAACACCATCCCAAAGTCCTACTTTTCTCCACCCCAGACAAGAACTCAAGAAAAATCCTCTGACTCAGTCCCACAGAGTATCACAGAATGTTAGACTTACAATGGCCCACAGAAACATCCTAGTGTGCGCCAATCTTTTCATTTACAGGTGAAAAAAGCTGAGACCTGGGATAGGGAGAGGACTCCTAAGTCACACGGCTAATTAGTAGTTGTGTCAAGATTAGAACCTGAGTCCTCTACCTCCCAAATTGGCACATTTTCTAGTATCCTCATTATCTACCTTCAAACACATGGTCCTGAAATTTCAACATGATTTTAAGAAAGCGAATAACATGATCAGAAGAGTAATGTTACATGGAATGACTATCAGCGGGGCAGAATTTGATAGGAGGAGATCAGGAAAGAGGCTGTTGGAACATAACAAAGACTTATATATCTTGGTGGCTTCAACTAAACTGAAGGCCATAAAGTGGAGAGAAGCAAAAGGATTCAAGATGTATGTTGGAAGCACAGTCAGGGCCAGCTGAGCTCTGTCATCTGGGCCACCAATAACAAATTTCTGACCATGGAACACACCAAGGTGTGTAACCTATTTGCCGGGGGTGCGGGGTGGGGGGTTGTGCTTGTACGCTTGGCCTCATTGTCGCTGCTGTTCTTAGGACCCAGTAGCAGGTACTTGGTGCAGATGGCCCCGCTTGTCTTGGCAAGCAGCACTTACCTGGCTCACACTTTTATAGACCCAGCTTCCCCCACGCACTCAGACAGCTTCCTAACTAGAAACCTGATACACACACTATGCTACAGGGTTAGGGTTAATCGGACACTGGATCTGGGGTACTGGCATCCTTGTCTGAAGCAGATGAGCTCTTCAACCTAACAGGTTGAAGTCAGCCCAGATTGAGTGGCACATGAAGAGCTTCCTACCCTCTGTGCCCAGAAAGGCAAAGCAACAGCAATCTTCATGCTGGTGAAAACATCAAATGAAACCTGAATCATCCAAACATTCAGCACACAGCTGGTTCAGGACTCTACCCCTGCTACCCAAGATCCTCTGGTTTCCTTCCGGAGTTGCAGACCTGACCAGTTCACTGGGGGAGCCTGACCTCTTGACCCTTTCCTGAGACTGGTTTTCTACACCTCTCACCCGTCTCCCACACTCTTCCCGGGTGTAACTCAGACACATAGACACCAAGCACAATTACTGACCCAAAGATGTGCTGTTGCTCTCTGTACGTCTCTCTTGCATTGGACACCGGATCACATGCAAGTTGGTTTTGTCACATTCCTCCAGGCTTAGCTTTGATCTTCCCATTAAAAAAGTCTGCCTTGTTTTTTACTTTATGGTGGTAGAAGGCAAAGAGAATGGGCAGCTCTCAAGCAGTGCTCATTGAGATGCAAATCCATGCAACCACTCTGAAGAGCAATTTGGCAAAACTCTGGAAGAGTTAATGATGCACATACCCTATAATCCTTTTCCTAGGTATACACCCAAGAGAAATGGATAACAGGACCACCAAAAAAATCATGGAAGGTTATTCAGATCTACTTTATTTTACAGCAAAACTGTAAATAACTCAAATGCTTAACACAAAAAAATAGATAAATTGTGGGATAGTCATAAAATAGAATATTACCCAGGAATTTAAAGGAAACTTACTAATATAAACAATATGAGTGAATCTCAAAAATATTATGTTCAGCAAAACAATCTAGACCCAAAGCTAATACTGGTTATTCCACTTATAAGAAGTTTAAGAAAGAGCAAAACCAAATCTAAACTAGCTCAAAATAGTAATTATCTGTGATGGGACATACAGACGGGGCTATGGACTGAAAAAGCACATAGGGGAGTTCTCTGGGGTGTTAGAAATATTCTTTATTTTGCTCACTGCTGTTATGGCATATAGTTAACTATTGATTTGGGTTTCATAGCAGTAAAATATACATATAATGAAATGCCTAACCTTAAGTGTACAACTTGATTAGTCTTGATAAATGTATATCCATGTAACTACATCAGTCAAGATATTGAGAATTTCTATCACTCCAGAAAGTTACCATATACCCTCCCAGGCAACTACTGTTCTTATTTCTATCACCATAAATTATCCCCCTCTATAACTTTATATAAAGAGAATAATTCAGTATGTTATTTTGTGTCTGGCTCCTTTCACTCAACATGATCTTTCGGGGGATTTGCTCTTATTGCTGGATGTATCAGTAGTCCATTCTTTTTACTTGCTGAGCAGTATTCTTTTATCTGAATTACACCATAATTTATCCTGGATGGATATTTGGGTTCTTTCCAGCTTGGGACTAGCATAAAGTTGTTGTGAACATCCTTTTGCATGCCCTTTTGTGGGTATACGTTTTCATTTCTTCTGGAGAAATACCTAGAAGTGGAATTTCTGGGCCACAGCACAGGTACATGATTAATTTTTCAAGAAACTGCCAATTTTTCCCCAAAATGGTTGTGATTTTGTACTCTATCAGGAGTTTTCCCACATTCTCACCAACAGCTGCAGTTGTCTATCTTTTAAAGTTAGCCATCATAATGAATATAAAACAGTATCTCACTGTAATTTTAATTAGCATTTTCTCAGATTAACAGTAATAAGCAACTTCATGTGCTTATTAGCGATTTGTACACATTCCTTTGTGAACTACCTGCTCGAGTCCGTTGCCCATTTTATATTAGATCACTTGTCTATTGATTTGCAGGTGGTATGTTTATTATAAACATTTTCTCCTAGTCTGCGTCTTCCCTGTTCATTTTTTATTGTGGTAACTTTTAATGAGCAAAAGTTTTGAGTTCCAATAGATCTATTTTTTCCTTTCTGTTTAATGCTATTTATGCTCTCTCCAGGAAATCTTTGTCTAACCCAAGCATATATTTTCTTCTAGAAGCTTTATAGTTTTTGATTTTACATTTATGTTGATGATCTACTTAAGTATTTTGATTTTTGGTGTTATCTGATTAAGAATTTTATTCTTAATTTTCCAATTGCTTGCAACTGATCTATAAAAATATAATTGACTTTTTTCTGTGGTCTTTCTAAATTCATTTTTTAAGCATCAGTAGTTGTTTTGCAGATCCCTTAAGATTTTCTGGGTACAGAATTTTGCCCTTTGCAGGCTTTATATCTTATACTTCTCTTTCTTGCCTCATTGCAATGGCTAGCAGCTCCAGTGAAGTATTATCAATAAAAAGGAGTGTAAAGAAGGACATCCATACTTTGTTCTCAATCATGGGGGAAGGCTTTCAATATTTCAGTGTTAAATGTGATGCTGCTACAGGAGTTTTATAGATGTTCTTTATCAAATTAAAGAGATTTCCATTCCTGATTTGCTGAATTAAAAATTACTGAATCTTGTGAAATATCCTTTCTGTATTTATTGAAAGGATTATATGAGTTTTCTTCCTTGTTATGTTAAAAGGTGATATACATTAATTTTGGGGTTAAGCAATTTTGTTTCCTGGGACTAAACCCCACTTGACCATGATGCATTAACCTTTTCATACAGTCCTGGATTCAACCTGATGATATTCCTTTAAGGATTTTTATTTCTGTCTTAGTTCCAGCTGCTATAAAAGAATACCATATACTGGTGACTTTAAGCAACAAACATTTATTTCTTACAGTTCTGAAACCTGTGAAGTCCAAGATCAAGACACCGGCAGATTCAGTGCATGCCCTTTCAGGTTGCAGACTACTGACCTCTCCATCATATTAAGGGTTAGGACTTCAACATATGAATTTTGGAGGGATGCAAACATTGTCTATTTCAGTGTCTATGATCTCAGGAATACTGACCAGCAATTTTATTCTTTTGAAGCATCTTTCTCAGGTTTTGGTATCTGGGTAATGCTCGCCTCATAAAATGAGTTAGAAAACGTTCCCTCCTTCTCTATTCTCTGATTTGTTTAACATTCATATTACTGCTTACTGTTTGATAGTATTCACCAGAGAGACCATCTGGAAAGCTATAGCTTTCTTCACGGGAAGGTTTTTTATCACAAATTCAAAATTTTAAATACAGGGCTATTCAGATTTTCTATTCCATCCTGTATTAGCTTTAGTAAGTTGTGTTTTAAAGGAATTTGAAAACATCTCATTTCTTGAATTTATTGGCATAAAGCTTCCATAATATTTATTAATCTTTTAATGTCAGTATGATCTATTCCTCTTTC